ATTACTGCGTATGGGCAGCTTAAATCTTTCTATCAGAACAGATCACTGTGAAGGTGCTGAGAACAACTTGGAATTAATTAGTCATGTTGCCTGCCGCAACAAAACATCTAAAAAGGTAATATATATATATATATATTTTATTTTTTACATTATTTTTTGGTATGCTGTGTGAACAGGAACACACAACAAACATATAGAGGGGTTTTCTCAAATTTGACTGCAAAAAAAGCTCTGACTGTTAAACCTCTCCATATGTGGAATAGTAGTTTGCCGAATCCTGTACTTCATCGCCATCTACTGGACCTTTTCCTGCATTGCATCAAGATTACATTGCAGGTTCTCACAGCTGGCATGGCTAGTTACTGTTAAAGTTAGGTCGGAAATACCAACTCTGTGCTGTTCAACATGTTCTTTTTGACCATGGTTTGTTTACACCAGTCTGTCTTAGCCTCCTGAATTTTAGTTTATACACTAAACTCATATCTGCCTGCAAATCTGAAATAAGCCAACTTCTACTCTGGTCATCTGCCTGCTGCACGTGACACCCAGCGCACTTGTCTGCAACCTAAGCCATTCCAACATCTTCCTGCCTCCTTGTTGGCTGACAGAGCTGCATCTTCCAAATACCTGTAATATTAAAGAAGTAAAAACAAGGCCAGATTTTCATTACTGGAGCAGGTTTAGAATAAATGTGACAAAGTACAAATAAACTAATGAATAAAAGAGATGACTGTAGTTCCACTGATGGAAAACGAATTTGTCCCATAACCATACAGGGAAAAGCCACCTCTGTGACCTATAGCCTGGTAAAATGAAAAATTCCAGCCAGAACAAACATACCTTAAAAAAATAAATCAGGTTATGTACACTTTTTTCTTTTTAATTATTCAACAGTGTTGGGGAATATGACAAGTCCAAAGTGTCCGCAAAAGGGTGCAGAAACAAGACGTTTCTAGAAAAGGAATCCCAGAGCACTCCATTAGAAATCATACTTTAATTCAGAGTTGCCAGTATTTCAAAAAAGTAACAGGGACACTTTATATACCAGGCAGCTCACATCACTCTCTTGGTCAACTAAATCTTTGGTTGATATCCCTCTTTGGGGACTCCTAGATATATCCATCGCACATCCTAACGCTCTGTATAACATCCTTGGAACCCTAGCGATCTTAGCCCAACCCTGTCTCCGCCAGTCCAGCCACATCAGCCTTTCCTCTAGTGGAAACCCTGGGGACCTCTCAAGAAACTCTGGTTGAGAAACCTCGACATACAACTTTGATTTAATAATCATTTATTCAGCAATATTGTGGGTGGTGGTGCAGAGTTGTAGCCACCTCCAACTGCATTGAGCTCACAGAGCTCTGACTGATAATTCTTTCCATGTGTGTGACTTCTCGTATTGCTGAGGTGTGTTCAGTTGCTGCGAGTGCTAAGTTAGCAAACCGCCACTGTGCTGCAAGTCAGCGCTCAGCACTGCCAATTTCGCACTTACAGCAGAAATGAATTTGGATACAGAGTGCTGAGCGTGACAGAGAAGGTGGGGAGAGAACACCAGCGGCTATTTGAATTGTGGGCACACCTGGCAGCGCTGGAGAAAGCTGCCTGAACACCAATGGAGGAAATCATTTAAGTGTGGGAACCTACAATTTAATGTTTTGGTGGACGAGCACACCTAGTATTCGTTGGAAAATGGTATTTATTAGTCAAAAATATTATCCTCCCATTTTGCTCAGCACTGTGCAGCCGGAGTGTTCAGTGAGGCTGCTGCAGAACAGCTACTCAGCGCTTGGCTAAGGAACTGAACACGCCTCTGTATTCTGTCCTTTACCGCCATCTACAGGACCTTTCCCTGCAGTGCAGCGATACTACTCGGCAGGTTCTCACAACTGATATGGCAAGTGCCTGATCAACAGGTTCTGTTTGACTCAGGTCCGTTTGTCTAACCGACCTCTGATGTCTGGATACAGGGGGCATGTCCAATGTTATTACATAGGGGCTTGTCGTCCCTTTGTAATACCAATAAAGTAAACGTAAAAAAAAATTTAAAAGACCCCTACACCCCATTTATATACAGTAAATACCCATCCCACATATTTCTATGTAAAGGGTGATATATTCTGTAAGAGTCACATTCTGTGTTGCCATGCACGTTGGAGAGAGAGATACATTTTTTTTTAAAAGAGTAACGTATGTGCAATTTTAGTTTTTTTTTTTGCTATTTCAGGGGCACATGCAATATTAGGGCTTGACATATTTACTCAACGCAGTCTTATCCTGTAAGAGAAGTATCATGACATAAAAACCTTGAGTCCCTCCGGGTACCATGTATATGTAGCACTTGGTCCCATTGTGCATTATAAGCCCATTTTATTTCTGTTTGTGCTGGCTGTAGCTCAGCCCCACAATAAAGCCCAATTTGTCGGCATTCCTGGGAGAGTTACGGCTGGTACTGTAGTCACCTCCTCCTCCTTATTCTCACTTTGCAAAATGGAAGATCAGATTACTCATTGTGCAACAATTGTACCCACCACTCTCCCCACAGGCCCTGTGACTGATGGGAGGTGAAGGTGTCATTGTTGCACACAACTCCCTGTGAGGGTAGCTGCTGATGGAAGGGGAGGCAGGCACCTTCAGGGACTCCACAGACTATCTGAGCAGGCTTTGATCCAGCCGGCTGCTAGTAAACACACTGCGCTCACACTTGTGGAGGATAAAGGCAGCGCTCACACAGCCCCACCAGGGACGACTTATCCTGCACTATTGTGAATGTTTACTAGCAGTCTTGATCACAGAAATGCTTGCTCCATGCATTTGGATCCTTGGGCGATTCAACTATTTTTTTTTACAATGCAGTAAGACTTCTTGACACAAATTTGCAACTACCATAGTTTTATTTGACAGATCCTCAGCTTTTGTTTACAATAAGGAGGACTGTGTCACGTACCTTGATAGGCACCTGATATGACGAGGACGGCCTCTTTTGGTGCTCAAGTCCTAGCCCTCCTGGTGGTGGAACAGAAGGTGCAGGGACAAAAGAGTGGCATTAGTGCTGGTAGATGACTTGGTCTCTGAAGCCGACGATGAAATGTCTGGATGCTGGCCAGCAGGGGAGGCCACACACACTGCAAGTGATATCAGCGGAGAACAGCATGGAACTGGGATGGTAGAGTCAGGAACAGGTCAGGTCAGTAACTTGCGGGCAGCATGGTACAGAATCAGCAGGCAGAAGAATGGTCAGAAGAAAAGCTATGATCAAGCAGGAACGGAGCAGCAAACAGGAGGGTTGTGAGGCAAGCCAGGTCAGTAGCAGAAGGTCAGGGTCAGAATCAGAATTGCAGGTCATGGGATCTGTGCAGAGGCGCACAATCCTATAAGCAAGACGGGGCCCATACCATATACAAAATGTGCCGCGCTATTTTTGTATATTTAGTCACTTTCATCTGGTATTCATATTTAGTGCTTGCAGCTGTGGTGGAGTGGTGAGCATGAAGCTGTTTCCTTAATAGTAAGACGGTGCCTATGCGCATGCACAGGTGCTCGCGCAGAGCCTAAACGTGTGGCTTGGCTGGATCTTCCTGACAGACTGCACCAATTTAACCTGCATTGAAAGTGTACCAAAGCAAAATGTTTGCGGTCTAAAAAGAACATTGGGGCAAGCCTACAGTTTGCCATTGAACATACAGGCAAAGACCAGACCTGGAACAATGTGCTGTGGACTGGTGAATCAAGGACAGAATTGTATGGCCACAGTAACAGTAGACATGCTCGGCATAAACCAAAGACAGCATTTCAGGAGACGAAACTTATACCAACTAAGATACATGGCAGAAATGTTATGGCTCAGGGTTTCTTTGCTGTTTCAGGGGCTGGGCAGCTTGCTGTCATCAGTCAACTATGAATTCTACATCTTAGCAAAGTGTGCTTCACAGACAGTGATTTCAGCAAAGAATGTGGAATTGTTCAAGAAACTTTTGGACGATTTCTTAAGGGACCGTAATATACAGGGGTACAGGTACTCCTAGAATGAGATCCTAATAGGTTGGACTTGATGGACTAATGTCTTTATTCAACCACAAATACTATGTAACTATGTAACTATGTAATGTCAAAAAGTTGAAGGCAAATGGGAAATTATTCTTTCAATAAGATGATCTAAAATACAACAACATATCCACCAAGGAATGGCTCAAAAAGAAGAAATGGTTATGGACTTCTCTACCAACCCTAATCCATTTCATAACCCCTATTCCTAAAATGTACACCAGGAATGCATTCTCCAAATGAAAGCAAGAGAACATGGGTGTAAAAGTGAAAGAATTAATCACATATCTGAAAAGGTCAAAACAAATATTTATTGGCTCTGCAAATTCTAATACTTTAGTTATTCTCGCATTAGGAAAGTTTGACACACAACATATTCTGCATAGTTAGAAGACTGTATGCACACTGGATTCATGTTATAAATACTTATTTGAATCTGCAAATGAACAGGAATCACCACACCGGTGTTACATTGTTGCCCTGATGAAGGGTCCCTGCGTGGCCCCGAAATATCGGTTATAATTATTGCAACATGTATGATGAATTGTCCGATTAAATGGACTTTATCGTTTGAATATTTTCCACTGAGTGCGGGCGATTCCTGGTCATTTGCTGTTTGATGTGCACGGCGCCATCCGTGAGATTCACTGCAAGCACCGATATTGTGATTCGTGCCGGAGACGCTGTGAGGAGTGCAGGGGGACATATTGGACTTTAATAATGTTCTTTGAATCTGTCACATGGATACTTCTGTGTAACTGTGAAATAATTTCTCTGTAGAGAGTGTTACAGTTCATTTACTGCAAGTATTCATCTTACAGCAGAAACTGTTTATAATAAAAACGTATACAAAGATATATACACAAAGTACGCATGACGCAATATTCATTGGCCATCAGTATGACCAATCAAACATACTTTTCTGGAAGTATTTTGCAAACATTTGAACAAACAACTCAAGTCTTTGCATTCCTAAAAATGACAGCAACAAACCCTGAGCAGCCATGACACAAAGCATGTTTCATAATAAAGCACTTTTCATGTAGTTTAGAACACACAAGCTCTGATTAAACAAGGTCTGAATCTGCCGCCACGTCTCGTCTAGATGTGATGATAATGTGGAAATCTCTTCTAATAACTTTGGCTCGGCTGAAATGAACCGTAGATGGATCTAGAAAGAATGCACAAAAATGACAAAAATGAACACAGGACATTAAAAGAGACGGTCACTACTATGACTTGACGATTCAATAGTCACTCAAGAATCCAATTACTTTTTTCCCCAGTGAATCCAGACTTTGCCTCTGGCAGTGCACCCTCAATGCTCTATAGATAAGGAGGCCCAAGGACTGAAGATAAACCTTTCTTCTTTTCCATTATCTTTTTTTCCATCAAATGAGTAATAACTAGACAGACCAAAATGTGCCACTTCTGTGCACCTGCCCCCATACCCACAGAATGAAAAAAATGTAATTAAAAAAAACACCACGTTTCATGTTGCACCCAAATTCAGGGTGTAAAAAAAAACATGGTCACATCGCAGATCCAACTTTGATAGAGCTTGCAGTTTCACCATTCACAAATCCTATCAGCCACTGCGGCAGAGTGACTTCTGGTTCTCAATGGAATTCAAGTGCAGTAACATCACCCCACTCGTAGTCTATTTATTCTTCCTCCTGGGAAGGGAGGAAGAATCTGCAGGAGCCAAAGCATTGCACCATATGATCCACTGATCAGGGTTGCAATGCTTTACTGACTCCAATGCAAAAAAAGTAGTAAATGCATAATTTTTCTTTTATGAAGCAATGTGCAGATCAATGGGCATGTGCTATACGTAATAATGCTACACAGATGAATGACCATTGCAACTGGCTGTTATAGGGTCCTCCAACCATCAGCCACACTGATTGGCTCCTGTTCACAGACTGGGAATATGGCTGTCCAACTGCCTAGAGGATATTTAACAAGAACACAATTTACATATGATGCAGCTTAACAGTCCTTAGTGTGGTGGCCCCATTGGTTTTCATTTTTCAGGCCCATGAACATTTTCAGCATGTTAAAAAATGTCCTGTCAGTCCTGGCAAAAATGCGCCGACCTTGTCATTTTCTGTGAGCTGAACTGAAAACACAATGCTCTCTTCTTCCACAAACTAATACACCCCTTATGTAATGCAGAGGAGAGACATGTTTGGAGTCCAGCCTGGGTGACAAACACCATGGCTCCCTTTAGAGATACAATGGAGGAGTGAGTGTAGCCACCCTAGGACAGGTAGTGTATATAATTTGAAGAATTTCCAGGTAAAAAACCAAAACAAATGTAGCCACTTCATCTAAGGACCTGCAACCTGCAATATATTACATTTCATTTTTTGGGTGAAGAAATGCTGAAGAACTGAAGTCCTCCAAGACCCAATATAATGTAGTAGCTCCACAAGTGGCTTAGAAGCAAACAGATCACAGAAGAACAAGAGACAGCCAACAATTACCTTTAGGAATAAAGCAAGGTAGGCCTGGGTAAGCTCAAAATCCCGTTTGGTGTCTAACATTCTGCCAATCATCTTTAAGAAGCTTTGCATCACTGCAACAGAACCGCCGCCCTCTGGAGCCAAGTTTCTGATCTCTGTGTCAATGCTGGAAGGTCCCATCTCCTTTATTGTTTTCAGTGGAATGTCATCTTAGGATAAAACACAAATTACTTTACATGCCAAGAAGTTATTCATTTACTTTTACCATTCATCTTTAAGTCCTAAAAAGTACATTTTAAATGTAATGTATATAGTTTTGTAAATGGGTATAATGGTCTTTAAAAAAAGTTTGGCAGGTAAGTTTAAAATACTGCATATGAATATTATGTGGCATTCTATCTAGTGAGCAGGTGGCAGATAAAGCTCCTTTTCATGTTTCTAGCACATGTTCAAGCCGGTTTACAGACATGAGCAGCTCAAGGCTGAATTTATACTGCATCCAAATAAACACTTATCAAAAGCATCTAAAGGTTTAAATAACCTGCATATGAAACTGCAAAAAAATATAAAAATAAATTAGAGGTGCACCGAAATAGAAATTTAAAAACCAAAACGAAAACAGAAAAAATTGTCAAACTGAAAATGTTTTTATTTTTTACTTTTCTTTTAGGGGCTTCGGGGGAAATATTAGGGGTCTAAACAGACTCCTGATATTTCCCTTTTAAAATAGAAAAAGATTGAGAACACAAAGCCCTCAATCTCTTTTTCTGTGTCCCCTGTTATCAATGAACAGGAATCCGCTATGAGTGTTTCTGTTCATTGATAACATGAGAACATTGTTTGTTTACTATAACCGCAATTATGAATTAACAGAAGTGGATATAGATCACTCCTATTCATTCATAATTGAGGATATAGTACACATACCCTATCCTCAATTATCTACACTCAGCGATCACTGGGCGCTGAGTGTATGTAGCCAGCTCTCCTCCCTGACTCACTGTCACAGGAGGCTGAGTGAGCAGTGCGAGGGGAGAGCCCAGCCTCCTGTGACCGCGCCGTCTCCGCCCCCACACCGCTCTGCTGCACTGTGATAGGCGGCCGAGCGGTGTGGGAGGAGAGACAGCGGCCGCTCACAGCGCTCTTGTCCTGCAGTGCTCGGCCTGCTGTCACTTTCACTCCTCCCCGCTGTGACACGGAGCAGGGCCCAGCGGGGAGGAAAGAAATCACGGATGCGCCGATGAATCGGCAGGAAAATGGCACTTTCGGCATTTAGCCAAAAGAGCAATTTTCGGCCGATATGTTTCGGCGGCCGATATATCGGTGCATCCCTAAAATAAATATAACATTTGTTAGCTACAATCAAGAACTGGCCTTTTTCAGTGAATCTGGACCATGGGATCTATAAATGTTAAATTAAAAGGAGAACTATGGGATGAGTGATTTCCAGTGATACAGTGATACAGCTGGCTCTGCCTCTAGGTCGGGATCCGCTTCAGGTGTGGCGTCTCAGTATACCGTGAGCTGTAGCTCGCGGTATACTGAGCTTAGGGTAACAGGAGGATGCTAGTTTGTGTCCTAAGTTTGTGTTTGTGTACCCTAAGGAGAACTTAGGTTACACAGGAGCTAGTTTGTGTTTGTGTACCCTAAGGAGAACTATGGGGAAAAACACTGAACAGGCATACTGCGGTGAAAACAAACTCAATGTATTATCAACATAGGTTGAAGTAAAAAGTAATGTTCTTGCATATAGGACAGTCTATTTTGGAGGGGCCAGAAGGGAAATAATTCAGACTATTAAGATGTAGAATTTAAACTAGGGATGCTCTAATATCGTTTTTTCGGTATCGAGTACGGAGTACCAAAATTTATATTTCGGTATTCGCTGATACTTCCACTAGCATGGAGCTGGCTTCCCAACTAAACAAGAAGCAAAGCGGCGTGTAATGACATGCCGTCTGGCTTCCTGATTGCCCGGGAAGTCGGTTCTAAGCTGTTTGGCCGGCTTGATGCTGAATGGCTGGTAAGCCAGCTCGCTGGCCAATCAACATCAAGCTGATCAAGCAGTATGAACCTGGCTTGCCGGCCAATCAGGAAGCCGGGTGGCGAGTCATTACCTGCCGCCCGGCTTCCCGATTGGCCAGGAAGCCGGCTCCATGTTTCCTCGTGGCACTGCCAGTCAGGGAGATCCTTCTGACCGGAAGTTCCAGTATCGGAGCATTCGTGCGAGTACTCGCCCAAATACTCGGTATCGGCACAGATACTAGTATCGGTGCATCCCTAATTTGAACCCACAGGGTATCTAGCTATTCATAGAATAATGTTGGTTGGTAGGGGATCAAATGCTTATTTTACTCACTGAACTGCAACTCCAATTTATAACATTTGTATGATGTGTTTTTTTTCTGGATTTTTGGTTGAAGTTCTGTCTCTATCATTTAAAATACACTTATGATAAAAATTATAGACCTTACATTTCTTTGTAAGTGGGCAAACCTACAAAATCTGCAGGGGATCAAATCATTATTTGTGTGTGTGTGTGTGTGTGTGTGTGTGTGTGTGTGTGTGTATCTATATGTATATCCATACGATACTAACAGACAGACAACTAGCTTCAAGAAATTGGGACTTACAGTTTTGGTGATCAAGGGCTTCTTCAAGCTGGACACAGAAAGTAGATTTCTGCTCGAGAACTCCAAGATTGACAATTCTAGACTAAAAGTAGAAATATACATTCAGTTCACCTTACCAAACAAATCAAAACACAAAAAAGTCTATTAACCAGGTAGTGAATAGCCCAAATTCCTCACACAGTGTCTTATGTCTGTATACCTCTGCAAATATACCCCAAATCCATGCCATGGCCTTTGACTGCGCCACACAAACAGATGATTTATTTTCATAAAAATATCTCCTAATGACATCAAACTAAACTGATATATCTGGGTGACTAAGGAGAGTATAGCCCATAGATGAAAAGTTACGTTCCTAGGGCCTGATTCAAGAAGCTAGGGATGCACCGATACAAATGTATTCAAAAGTGTTCAGGATTCCATATACTTAGAATTATACCTCAGAAGCTCAAAACACCTATTAAGACCTCAGTCCACAATCACCTACTGCTAAATCAGAAAAAAACGCCCTTTCGTGAAGAACCGAAGGACTACACAGCAGACCAAGGGAGCTTCCAAAATGTATAAACACACTAAATTGTGGAAAATGCAAATATAACAAACAACACTGCACCCTCTTCCTCTTCACTATTTAGAATAATAGAACTTTGCAGTTTTGATTTGAAGAGAAAAAGTTTGTTGAGACATTCTTTTGGAATCTTGTCTATCCTAGTGAACGTCTTGGTTTCTTTTTTTTCCATTAGTCCTGTTATGTCCTCGGCGTTGAGGCATTAATTCGCTCACATATTATTAAATCATAATATTTATATTGCATACAGGTAGTGAATGTTTCTCTATGAATGAGTATGTGATTGACAACGTTGTTAATTTTAGATGGTGAAGAGGAAGAGGGTGCAGGGTTGTTTGTTATATTTGAATTTGCTACAATTTAGTGTTAATACATTTTTGAAGCTCCCTTGGTCTGCTGTGTAGTCCTTCCATTCTTCACGAAAGGGCGTTTTTTCCCCCGGATGCACCGATACGTATAGTGGGCACTGTTATGAGTACTAGTGCCCGGATACTAAGTGTCAATAGTGGTGCTTTAAATTTTTAAAAACAAGCAGCTGCTGTAAGGTCCTGCAATTGCTGAAAACCTCACAGCAGCCTTCTGGAGACCACGTGGCGCTGCTTACAGTGCAGGCAGCACAGCTCCTTCTTCCTGTGGAACCATGCCACCTACACCCGTCCACAAGACCATCAGGACCCCTGGTGAGACCCCACATAGCCCTGGTGAGACCCTGGAGACATAAGGCTGCCACCCCTGAGCAACACAGTATGTAGCTTCATATTAGTCTGCATTGCTGTATAAAGTATTGCTGGGATTTGTGGTCCTCTATAGCTCGTGGTATTGAGCACTGCTGTATAAAGTATTGCTGGGATTTGTAGTCCTCTATAGCTCGTGGTATTGAGCATTGCTGTATAATGTATCACAGGGATTTGTAGTGCCTCTACAGCTTGGAGTCAGTGCCAGAACTACCAGGGTTGCAGCAGCGACCGGCCCCTGGAGCTCCACCACTGTCCTAAAAGCATTGGTCTTTATTAAAAGGTCCACGGGTAATTGGTATTGGCAAGTACTTGAGGAAAAGTATCGGTGCATCCCTACTATAAATCACATGATGAAAGTGGCTTATTGACCAATATAACATATGGTAATATTGTTTATTTAATGAAGTGAGAGAAAGTTTCAGGACAACAGATTCAGTCTAATATTACACCTAATATGGTAACAAACCTCTGTGATGTCAGCTCCCCAGAGATTCCTGTGCAAACCACTTAGAAATGTATTGTGTGCCAATAGCCACTTTTTTATGGGATTGCTTTAACAGAAAACACTTTAAAGTCCAAACTCCTATAGAACAGGTGTCTGTTGTCACATAAACTGTAAATAAAAATTCCTTACTTGAGGACATTCCGCCTGGCTCTCAGAACCAAAGCGTGGAACAAGTCCTGGAAGTGTTGGGATAAAAAATGGTGCAGATTTAGGCACTTTTGGTGGCTCTTTGGGTTTGTTCCTTCTCTGAAAAGTAAAAGAAAAATACATAAACAATCTGTACGGCAATCTTCCAGAACCTATATTTACTATCACTATTATCTACTTTTATTCTACCAGTGGCATCTAAAATAAAGCCAACTTCTGTGAGTAAGGTCCACATATATCATTAATGATAAACCTAACACTTATTGACCAGCAGTCCCTGCAGTTCTTCATTTTCTGATCAGTAATGGCAATGCTAAATCAACTTCCAATCTGAAAGCATTATATAGTCAGAAGATCTAGTGATACTTTTGAACTGACTACACACCACGGTACCTTAATGACGTCAAGGTTTAGGAGATTCTTCCATCTTGACTCGGCTAATAGTGATAAGGTCACCAGCTGTTCTGCTAACTGTTCTGGAGAATCATATTCCATCATATCTTCACTGGAGTCTTCCCTTACTTCTAGTTCATTTTCTACAGCACAAAGTAGATGGCAATATTATAAATAGAATTTAGGCAACAATTGAAGAAGACGTCTCATCATAAATATTTTTTCTCATCCTGTTCCCTGGGATACATCTTGCACTTTGTTGCATTTGGATTGGTGCAGTAGATCGATAACCAGTGTGGTCAACAACTACCCCCCTCCCCCTTCTTTAGTTCCGTCTGACCATGCTGCTCTATTGAAGACAAATACCTAATGAGCAGAGACAGAGCGCTGGTCTCCGGCACCAGGCGCTTGACCAAGACCAGCACTGTCACAACAAAGCATTATTTCCTCCATGTAAACCTCACCCCATGTGTCCGTTGCACTTTTCACACGATCCAACATACAGATGTTTTATTGGCTGCACAATTCAGATCTCCATCGTCCCCCCCAGTCTGCTCTGTGTTTCAGTTCACACAACAAAGTTCAATGAACACATAAGTTATGACTGTTTCTACACTGCTGTTCTACCTTTTTTTCATTGTAAAAATGACCACCTGGAAAAAAAAAAATCAACATGCATGCTGACAGCAGAGGGGGCAGAAGCAAGTGAGTTCTGCCTGAGCTGACTTGCTACACCGATATTGCTACTTGCATACTTTGCTACTGCTGATAAATTGCTATGGACAGACAATAGCCATGCAGGGGGAAGGAGAGTGGCACTCTTGCCACTGTTTCACAGTAGAGCACATTAGAGGACCTTTGGCAGCACAGTTCTGTATGAAATTCAAAGACAATGCAGCTTTTAAATAAAATAGGAATGAATGAATGAACGACGTCAGTGCAGGGGGCGGTAGCAACTGAGAACAAGGACAGGAATACCCACAAATCAAGCTTCTGACAGGGGAGGAGCTGACAGGCAGCATTAGAAGAACTAAAGAAAGGATTTTCTACACAATCGTACACCTTCTTTGTAAATTCAAAAATAGGTATTTCTACATTAAATCTATTAGACAAGCATTTCATTCTTCAGTGCTCATGAGAGTACTGGATATTCATAATCTGATGGAAGTGGGCGTAAGGAGATCAGAGAAAATAGAGATTTGTTTGACCTGTGAATAATGAAAGAGCAACAGTTAAGCAAATGCACCTAGATTGCTGTAGATCAGGGGACTCAAACCTCCGGCCCTCCAGCTGTGGTGAAACTACAAATCCCATGATACATCTCTCTTCGGGAGTCATGTCTGTGGCTGTGAGAATCTTGCAATGCCTCATGGAATTTGTAGTTCCACCACAGCTGGAGGGCGGGAGGTTTGAGACCCCTGCAGTAGATTGTCAAAGAAGTTAAAGCAAACAGATACATGGCTTAGAATACAGTCTAGATCCCATACTTCGAGCACAGCAGACCAAACATACGTATTTTTTAAAATATGGTCCTGTACTTACTATGTGAACTTGTAACCGAAAAGTAACAAAAAAAAAGAAAAAAGCTGTAAACAGAAAAATATTTGGACATTGCCTAAATAAGAAGAGTAGGTAAACAGTCCTTCACTCTGGGAACTCTGTTCCTACTAAAGGAGGCCCTTGTATTCATCAGAAACTTGGAGAACCAGGTTTTCTGGAAGTTGACTTCATGATGTCGTAGGGTAGAAGTCATATCGTCCGTTTTCATAATTTCCTTTTTACTTATTTGCCACCTTTAGGAGGTAAATCATCTTTCCATTTAGAAGGTATGGAGGATCAGGTTGCATTTAATAGGATACCATAGGATAGGCTTTCTACCGCCGGCAGAAGAGGAGGCACGGGGGCATCATCAGTATCTACTCTGGTGGTGTGCGCTTTAAAAACAAAGTACTGACTGGAAAGGTACCAACTGATTGGTGTAAAGTGATGGTAGTACCAATATTCAAAAAAGGTTTAAGATGCCAACCTAGAGACCGGTACGTTTATCATCAATAGCATACAAATTGTTGGAGGAAATGATAAAGTACTATTTACAAGATTTACTCTGTGGTAATGGCCTCATAAGCGATAATCAGCATGAATTTATGAAAGAGCCTTCTCGTCAGACCAACCTATCATCATTCTATGAGTAGGTGCGTATGGTACCGCATTAATGTTTAATATGCAAGTTACAATCTATGGGCATTGATGAAATGGTGTGCAAATGAACAGAAAATTGGCTACTGAAAAGTGTTCAGAGACTATCGATAAATGGAGACGTAGGTAAACTAGGGGATTGCGCAACTATATGGCAGACAACGTTTAATGCTGACAAATTTAAAAACGCATTTGTGTTAAAAATAGGCATGCAGGCTGCACGTTAATGGGAGCTCCACTGGGGAAGTCAGATGTGGAAAAAACTAGGGGGTCATAATTGACTGCAGACTTAGTAATAGCATGCAATGCCAGGCTGCACCAAACAAAACTAGCAGACTAAATCCATGCAGAAAACAGGGAATGTACTGTAGAGACAAAGCAATAATGTTGCCACTTTACAAAACAGTGGTTCAGCCTCATCTTGAGTATGCGGTTCAATTTCGGTCACCTATACACAGAAAGGATGTCCTTGAACTGGCAAGAGTCCAGAGAAGGGCAAAAAAAACTGATAAGGGGGCTGGAGGACCAAGCTATGAGGAAAGATTGAAAAATTTAAACTTGTGGAAATGAGGCAATTAGGAGGGGGGATGATTTTAATGTATGAACTGTTTAATGGTACTATCGGTAATAAACCATTTACTGTAAACTAACTAAAAAAGACAAGAGGCAACCACCTGAAATTGGTTTAAACACAAGGGGCAAAGAGGATTCTCTTTGGTTAGTGTGGTAAAGTTGTGGAGCTCCCTTTCCGCAAGCAGTGATATCAGTAGAAAGTATTAAAACATTTAGATACGCTCCTCGTTAAACAAAACATATGGGGATACCGGTACTCTTAATGACACACACACACACACACACCTCGTTGGACCTGTGTCTTTCTTCAACCTAATGTGTCTAATGTTAACCTAAGGTTAACATTATGTTGGGCCATCTAAATTGTTTGAAAAGTCTATACTTATAAATAATAATGGAGCATTTAAAACAAGGTAATCCATATTCCATGAGGTGATAGAAGACATACCACAGGTAAATACCAAGGTCATCGACATGAGCAGTGGCCAGGAAATCTCCAGTAACGGACATTGTGAGACTAACGACAGCTGAATCCAACAGGAAACAGTCAATGAGGCTGAAAAAGAAAAATACAAGAAATCATAATACTGTTAAAAAAAAAAGGAAAGGATCTTCCCCCAAAAGGCTTCTAGTTTTCATTGCATGGGCACAAATATTAAGTGGTGAAATCTGTTTGTTTTCGGCATTCCAAAACTGCTATCAGATGTCAGTTTTCTATGGCTTGCCATACCATAAGATATCCGCAAATGACGCAGCAGAATTCAGCATTAAATTTGACAATTACATAATATCTGGGACAAGCATGGTGTGACCAATCTTTCAATCTTTGATCCCTTTCTCAAAGAAAGAAGGGATTGATAATTTTACTACAAATAAATCTAAATGTTGTGGCAGTACATTCATTTTAGAATCCTTAAAATGAATGCGTGGTTGCTTTGGGTATTCCCATTGTTAGCACTGTAAAATTTCAGAACAAGTTTAAACACAGCCAAAAAATATGGACTAAATTCATTAAACTTACCTTCAACCAAGGGGGTCACATTTTACACTTGTGTACTGTGGTAATGAGTGCGTATTTGTGCATTGTGGTGCACTGCAATTCTTTTTGAATGCCACTCCAATAAACATATACAGTAAGTCAAAACTCATCTCTGTTTAGTACACCACAAATCCCAGATGTGAATACTTTGTCATGGTGCGCTGCACTGGCAAAAATAGTGCAGGTGCATTTTTATATGCGTTGAGACATGCCTCAAGGCAAAGGCCCAAAAAAATAAAAAACTTTACAGTGTATCTGAACTGATTTAAAATATTTAAGGTAGAAAGAGCACTATAGTACTGTTTTAGCCTTTAAAGCAATCCCCGTCTCTATGGAGGCCCCCTTGGATCCTAGGCCCAGGGTGTACATGGGGCCTTAACTTCTGCCAAAGTCAAGAATAAGATCTTTTAATATTCAGAATGTTAATGGACCTTAGAGGTTCTGGTATTCGAGAGTGCAATAATAGGGTATGTGGCCCAGTGCCAGGAGGGAACAGGGCTTGATGTCTACTTGGGCAGAATTAAGGGCACTATGTACAGCCTGGTCCTGGGATTGAAGGGTGGTGCACACATGACTAGATTTGTAGTACTTGCTGGCATGGCACCTACTTTTCAGCACTGTTGCTATGTTGGAAAAGTTCAGGAGAGGTCAGCTTTAACTACAAACTAACTTATTAACCTAACTTTTACTCTCCTCCCAACCTTTAATGTTTACCCTATATTTCATCTAAAAACCTTGAATAAATAACGTTAAGACAAAAATTATACTATTAGGACTTTACTGGTGCCAAAAAAATCAACACTGGAACGGTTAAGCCAAATGCAGTCGGGTACAGATTGGAGGCAAGTACAAGAAAAAATTATTTCTTTGTCGCCCCTTTGAGGGGCACAGGAAGTCAAACTATTGTGATGTCTAAAAGCAGTCCAACTGAAGGGTATGCAACAGCAAACAATCATTAACAGACACAATTAACAAAAACAGGAGACTGCATACAGCTTAAGAGCCACCTGAAGGACCAACAACCTAAGCTGGAACTGGATGTAATCAAACCCCCCCACCTGGTAAGAAAAGGGGGAAGACCCAGGGGTAAATAACATGGGAAACTAAACCTGATGCCTGAAGACCTGAGATTACTCAAATTAGTGAGGAATGCCACAACATGGGAGGAAACCCCAAAATGTGTGTCATGACATGGAAACTGGTCTACCTGATCTAATCAAAAGGGTGAAATAATAGGATTTTTGTACTCACCGTAAAATCCTTTTCTCTCCGTTCATTGAAGGACACAGGGCAACAGATCGTAGATCCTGAATGGTAGGGTATATCGCCACCTGCAGGAGTAGGACGCTAGGCACATAACAAAAAGACAAGACAGCCTAGGGGCGGCCCCTGCTGGTGGCCCAACCCCTCACTTGCTGACAAGTCTCCAGTAAGTAACAAGCAGTTAGGAGTGTACACCCCATAAAAGAGGGCGGGGCCTGTGTCCTTCAATGAACGGAGAGAAAAGGATTTTACGGTGAGTACAAAAATCCTATTTTCTCTCCCGTTCATTGAAGGACACAGGGCAACAGATCGTAGATCCTGAATGGTAGGGACGTCACCAAGCAGTAACACACTGAGGGATGGGCAACAACAAACACAACACCCAAAAGACCCCTCAAAGCGCCGCCTGCAACACTTTGCGCCCCAAACCAGCATCCGCCGATGCGAACACGTCCACCTTGTAAAATTTAAAAAAGGTGTGAACAGAAGACCAAGTAGCGGCCTTACAAACCTGAGAAACAGAGGCCCCATGGCGGAAAGCCCAGGAAGCCCCAACAGCCCTAGTATAATGGGCAGTGACAGGAAAAAGGAGGCTCACGCCCCCTAACGGCGTACGCCTGAACCACAACAGTACGAATCCACCTAGAGATGGTAGCCGCCAATGCGGCCCGGACCTTACGAGGGCCCACCGTGAGCACGAACAGAGAGCCGGTCTTGCGGAAAGAAGCCGCAGCACCCAAATAAACATGGAGAGCGCGAACCACATCCAGACAGAGGAGCGCCCGCTCCTTCCCATGGACCAGCAGCAGACACAGGGAAGGTAAGGCAATGTCCTCATTCAGATGGAAGGCCCACACAACCACCGGCAGGAGTGCCGGCCGAGGACGGAGAACCTCCTCGTCCCCATGCAAGACCAGCAATAGGGACTTGCAGGCAGCCAATGTAGACATCTGCCGAACGGTGATGGCCTCCAAAAAGGTCACTGTGACAAGGACATAAGCAGAATCCCCCGAAGCGGTTCAAAACAGAGATTCCTGCAACACTGAAGCACAAGATTCAGGTCCCACGGAGCCAAAGGCGAGCGGACAGGGGGAGCAATGCGCGGGACCCCCTGAACAAAAGTGCGAACCAGAGCAGTAGACGCCAAGGAACGCTGGAAAAGCACCGCCAAGGCAGAGAATCGGCCCTTCACAGTACTCGAGGCAAGCCACTGAGCCACCCCACGCTGCAAAAATTCTGCTGATGGAGAATAAACACGGGGACAGGGCCCCAGCCTCACACCAGGCAAAATAGGCCCTCCACGTGCGATGAGAAACGTTCCAAAAAGCCGCATTGTGCGCCCTGAGCATAGTGGAAACGGCCGCATTGGACAACCCCCGGTCCTTCAGGACCTGGCCCTCAACAGCCACGCCGTCAAAGCCAGCGACTGTAAAGAAGAGTGTAACACAGGCCCCTGGGACAGAAGATCATGACACAGGGGCAGCCGCCACGGGGCGTCCACCACCAGGTGAACCACATCCGTGTACCACACCCTCCGAGGCCAGTCCGGGGCCACGAGGAGGACGGTGACATTCTCGGCCGCGATGCCACCCCACCGTCGTAGAAGCCGAGGCAACAGATACAGTGGAGGCAAGGCATAAAGCAGCCCGTAATGACCCCAAGGAGCCACCAGGGCAACTACCGCCTCCGCCCAGGGAGCGGGCCACAAAGCGGTCCACCTCCCGGTTGAACCGAGACGCCAGAAGATCCACCTCCGGCGACCCCCAGCGAAGACAGAGCTGCTGAAAACTCCCGGGTGCAGTGACCACTCTCCCAGGTCCACCGACCGTCAACAGAGGTAGTTGACCAGCCAAAAGCCCACCCCCGAGATGTAATCCCCGGGAGAGAACCCTGAACACCTCCCGACCTGGGGGTTAAGGTACGCCAGCCCGGTGGCGTCATCCGGCCGGACCCGAACAGCCAGATCCTGAAGCCGGGCCGACCAATGAAGGAGATAAAGAGCGAATCGCCCGAAGTTCCAACACAGTTGTCGACAGACGGAACTCCTCCGGCGACCAACGACGCTGCATGGCCAAGGCGCCCAGGACTCCACCCCAGCCCCAAAGGCTGGCATCTGTGGTGACTACCGTTCAGTGCGCAGAAGGAAGGACTTCCCCCGCACCAAGGCCGGAGAATGAAGCAACCACCGCAAGGAGGCTCCCGCCTCCCAAGACACCTGAATGTCCCCGTCCAAGGATAGGGGGGACTTGACCCACCCTGCCAGGATGTTCTTCTGTAGGGTCCCGGTGCGGTGCTGAGCAAAGGACACCGCCTCGAAGGAGGCCACCATGAGACCCAGGACCCGCATGCAAAAACGAACGGGTGACCACCGGCGAGACCGCAGCAGCCGTACTCTGGAACGAAGGTGCAGGAGCTTGTCACGAGGGAGAAAAAACCCGGGTCGCGACAGGGTCCAGAACCAGTCCCAGATACTCCAGGCGTGGAAAAGGCACCAGGCCAGACTTCCGGAGGTTCAGGAGCCAACCGAACTCCTCCAAGGACTGTACCGGGCCCTCCAGAGCCACCACCAGAGAGGATTGCGACTCCGCCCGCAGAAGCAGATCGTCCAGGTAACCCACGATCGAAACCCCCCGACAACGCAACAGCGCCAGAATCGGGGCAAGCACCTCGGTGAACACCCGCAGAGCAGGTGCCAGCCTGAAAGGCAGCGCCACCAATTGGATATGCGCCTTCCCCACCGCGAACCGGAGATATCTCTGATGAGACGCATAAACGTGTACATGAAGGTAGGCATCCTTGATGTTGACGGATGCCAGCAGGTCTACCTGACGAAGTCAGACCACCACGGATCTTATCGACGCCAACCGGAACCGACGGACCCGCATAAAGGTGTTCAAGCGTTTGAGGTCCAGGAAGGGCCGAACCCCCTCTATCTTGGGCACGGTAAACAGGTTTGAATAAAACCCTTTGAACCTTTCCAAGGACGGAACCGGCATGATCACCCCCTGGGACCAAAGGGTCCGCCACAGCTCGACGGACATCCGCCAACCGCGAAGGAGAGTCGCGTGTTGGACAGGAAGAACCGGTCCCTGGACGGGACAGAAATTTTATCTTGTAGCCCGAAGAAACCTGCACCCGCACCCAAGTGTGGGAGACGTGGGTCAACCGAAAAACCGCAAAGAGCCGAAGGCGCCCCCCAACCTGGGAACCAGAGCCAGGGCGCGACCTCCATGCGGACTTGGGCTGCCATGGGC